ACAGGTCTGTCCAGGAATGGCGTAGCATGGTAGAACATCGTGCTTAACTTGTTCGTTCTGCTTTCAGCTCTGCTGTTCAGGTCTCAACCACCGTGCTGTGTGCACAGAAGGATGGATGCATTGTAAGCAAACAGTGACTATATGGCTTGTTCACCTGTATGTTAATTTCATGGGGATGAATGAAGTGTGTGTATGTGTGTAAGTGTGGGTGTGGGAGTGGTATGTATATGTCTGTGTATGTGTGTGCAGTGTATGCATGTGTGCGAGTGCATATGTTTAGTGCTGGGGATTGAACTCAGGACGTATATTTTCTTGTCAGGCAACTGCTTTACCATGGAGCTACAGCCCAAGCCTAGAGAAAGACTTTTAAAAATGCAGTTCAAATGAATGCTTTCACACCGATGGCTCATTATTTACTGAACAAAGTGTGAGATACCCAGGCCCCTTTGCACTTGAGCTGCGCCGCTCTTCTCTGGGTTCATCACTGGGTATCCTGGATGTGGAGAATTGAATTCTGCATTTTTAAGATCTTATGGTGGAGGCATTGTTAAATTATGAGACAGCCGCCTGATTGGACTGATGCTGGGCTTTAGAGACAGCCAGCACACTTCATGACAGCACATGATGCTGGGTTTTATCATAAAGTAACCTGTTCTGTGAGCTCTTTGTCTGCTCGTCCTAACATTGGATAAATGATTGGCCTAGGTGACTTCTAAATGTCCTTCAACCTGGAGATTCTATTACCCTGAGCAAATTAAATTTCAGCAAGACCGTCCTGAGTTCCATCTTTATAGTGTATGTTATCTCAAAGGAAAAACTGTCTTTGTCTTCAAAGCCCAAGATTTCGTTGGTTAGCTAATAGCTTAGCATGCTGTGGAAAGCAGCAGAACAATCAGCACATATCACAGATGCCTGAGCTAGAAAGTATGATGAGAAGGCGCATGTCACAGTATCCGTGTCTGTCTGTCTATCTGTCTGTATGTGTGCCTTTGTGTATGTGTGTGTCTGTGTATCTGCCTCTGTGTGTGTCTTTGTGTGTCTCTCTCTGTGTATGGTGTTTGTGTGTCTGTGTGTGGTGTCTGCATGTAGTGTGTATGTCTCTGTGTGTGTCTTAGTGGGTCTATGTGTGTATGGTAGCTGTGTAGTATGTGTGTTATCTGTGTGTGTATGTGCCTCTGAGTGTGTCTTTCTGTGTCTCTGTGTGCGTGTGCATGTGTGAGTGTCTGCGTGTCTCTGTGTGTGTTGTCTGCCTGTGTGTGTGGTATCTGCATGTAGCATATACATCTCTGTGTAGAGTCTGTGTGTATGTGGTGTCTGTGTGTGCACACACATGCATCAGTGAGAGAGAGCCACTGAAGCAGGACAGAGGCAAACACGTTCACAGAAAAGGAATGTCAGGGAGGAGCGGGGCCTGGCAGGAATGGAAAGCTGGTCTTGTTTCGAACCCTGGCTGAGTTAATGCACTGTAGTGGTTTCACCAACCATTGCATTTCGTTAGCAAGTTCAGCTAGGCACCTAGATTTGGCAAGCTCGGATTAGCCTAACTGAGGTGCCACCTGCAATCACTTCTTAATGTCACAGTAGAGTGAGACTTCTTAACGGGTAAGTCCTCACCTAGACTCTGAGCCACATCTCTGCTCAGTGAGCAAGGCGGCGCTGCTGCCGGGCAGGCTCTGTGGTGCTGGAGGCTGCTGCAGCTCCTCACTGTCTCAGTCTTGTTTGTGTTAGGCTTATAAGGTCACAGTGAGGCTAAGACTGCCTTCCTGGGTGTACACAGAATCCCTGATGCCCTTTAAAGTTTTACCATGGTGTTGGACCAATTCAGAGCACAGTAATTTTTTTATTAATATTTTTAAATAATATCAAATATACTTTACCTAAAAAAGTTTAAATTTTCTGAAAAATAATAAGAGCATTGACTGTCTAAACGAGTTATAGAATATTTCCAAGGCATGGTTTGTTCTTGAAGCGGATGTAAAGGCTCATCTGCAAGTTTGAAAACCCAGACCCTAAGCTCCTGTGCTGTGTTTGTGACCGTCTGCAAGCAGAGAGCGATTTCACCACTGTGGCGAATGCACCAAACAGACCTGAAGATGTGCCTGACGCGTGGAGAGCTTTATATATGAGTCTCCAAATCTTCGAAAGTCCACCTTTAAAAATGCTTACCAAGCCAAAGTCCTCGCTGTGTGTATTCCGTTTCCGTACTTGTTTGTTTTTAAGCCGACTGAGAATGATCATTTAAAAGCAGAGGGAAGTCCTGAGAGCAGAGAAGGGTCGGGAGACAGATCAATAGCTCTGCTTGGAGACAGAGTCAATGTGTGTGTATGAAATTTATTCCATAGCACAGACCAGTTTTAAATTCTATCAAGTGAAACTGACGGTACAGCTGCGCCCGCCATCCTCTCTGCTGTAACAGATACTGGACGTGGAGCCGTGTGGGCATTATCTGCGTGCCCTGTGATCACCCTGTATCGATCGCCCTAGGACCATGTCTGTAGCTAATTTCATATCTCTCTTGGGCTTTCTCGAGTCACCGTCAGAATCGCCCAATACATATGTGATGCATTCTTTTAGACTGAGGAATAACTGGGGTAGGGTGGGAATTGAACCAAGGGAATTAAGTGTCTATAAAAAAACAACATTTTCTTTGATTTTCATCTCAATATGTATTTCATCCTTTTCTATAAAGGCAGCATTTGGCCTATGGATGCATTGCAGTTTACACTGTTTTCATTCATTCCTTCTTTTTAAATTAATTTTAATTTTTTTTACATGTCTAATTACACCGTACATGAACTAGATGGTGGGATCAAGGCCCAAATAAGGAGCCCTAGAGAGTCTGGGGTTCATGACAGGACAGAAGGCAGGTCCAAATGACACCTCATTTGTGTGGCTATGCAGAGAACTTGGCACATGGCAAACTCAAGTTTCACCTTTCGGAACTGTTTGGATTTTTATTTTATTTTGTTCATTTTTATTTTTTGATATTGTTGTTTTTAACTTATTATTGATTCTTTGTGAGTTTCGTATCATACATCCTATCCCCTCGTATCTACCCTCTGACCTTGCAACACCCACCCCCCAATAAAAAACTCACAAATAAGCAAATAAAACAAAAATAAAAAGTCCAAATCATAGAAAGCATCTTGTTGCAGAAGCTCTAGTGTGCCCCACAGTACGTCCACACATCTTCACTCGTGCCCTACAGTACGTCCACACATCTTCACTTGCAAATGCTCACTGCATTGAGCATTGGTCTGGTTTGAAGTCTCTGATTTCTGTGATGCTATCATTACTGGATCCTCACCGGGCCTCTTCCTGGTTGCTGTTGCCCTGTGTCATAGAGATCTTGCAGTTTGATCAACAGGACTGGCCCTTCTGTGTTCTTTAGCAGTTCACGGATGATGTAGATTTTGGGGTGTGCCAACTCAGAGCCCTGGATCTGGGTCTTGATGGTAGCTGATGAAGCCTCCAGCTCTCCCTTATCTGCACCTAGGGGGAGCTTTCCAGTGCTGCTCTGGCCTGGCTACCCGATGTCTGAGTGGCAGGAGGCAGTGTCAGCTCTCCTGCTCTCGTGCCCCTGGGACCAGCTTACCCACACCCAGATCTCCAGAGCCAGCTCCACTGGCTCAGGGCCCACACTCCCGAGTGCTGCAGCCAATGAGAAGCAAGGCTAGCTTTCCTGCTCGCAGATGTTGGGGCCAGTTCTCCCGAGTACTGCAGATGGTGAGGAGCCAGTTAGGGGAGAGATCACCCCCTTGCCCACTCCACCTCATGGCAGATGAGTGTTGGAGCCAGATCACTGCACCTGCTGCCTACCAGGGCCACCTCTACCGTGCTGCCCAGGAGAGGTGTAGGGCACACTTTCCTGAGTGCTGCAGCTGACAAGGGGTAGAGTGAGGACCAGGGAGGGAGGGCATCACCCCCACACCCACACCACCTCACAGAGATAAGGCGGCGGTCAGCTCTTCCAGTCATGCCCTGAAGGCCAGCTTACCCATGCCCCTGCTACCAGGGCCAGCCCCACTGTGCTGCCCAGGTGAGGCTCAGGGCCTGGTCTCCCAAGTGCTGCTCCCAGTGAGAGATGGGACTAGCTCTCCAGAGTCCCTTAGCCTGAGGGGCAGGGCCAGTTCTACACAGCCCTTGAACATCTCTATGGTCCCAGGCAGCTGCCCAGACCAGGGATGTCCCCATGGTCTCCAGTGGTAATATCAGCCATGGATATTGACACAGATGTCTTCCGATGCATGGTCACAGATCTAGACATGACCCTCAGGGGAAGCATGAACTAGGACTTTACCATGGCTTCAGATGGTTACTGGCTACTTACCACAGGCTATTCCTTCCCTCCCTCACATCTCCACTTCTGTCTTTCTTCATAATGCTCACACTGTTCGTTTTGCTTTCTCTCCCGTCTGTCCACCACACACTCGCACATTGTAGTGATTCCCACTGCAGATGGGCCTCTGGGTGACCTCGATCCACACTGCATGTCATGGCAGCAATGGGCCTCTAGGTGGCGTGGTGGCAGGGAGGTCTATGGATATCCTCCTCATGGCCCTGCATGGTTTTGGTGCCAGGTGAGGCCAGTCTCTGTGTATCCGCTGCCCCTCCACTCTGTGGAACAAAGGGTGGGTCTCTAATCCTCCTCACCAGTACCTTGAGGCATGATATGGCGATGGGCAGGTCTCTGGATATCTTCTATTTATTTATTTGTATAGATGTTTTGCCCGCATATGTCTATGCTACTGTGTACCTGATGCCTTCTCAGGCCAGAACAGGGCATCAGATCCTTTAAGAGAAGAGTCACAGAGAGATGCGAACTCTGGATTGCTAGGAATTGAGCTCAGGTCCTCTGGAAGGACAGCCAGTGCACTGAGCCATCATTCCAGCCCCTGTAATTTGTGTTTTCATAGAAAAAAAAAAAAAGAATGACTTTTCACAGTTGGGGCTGCTGCCTCTGTGGCCATTGTCATCTTCCCTTGGTTCATTTTTGGCAGATAAAATAACACAAGAAGATATCGAAGGCATTCTGCAGAAGTTTACTGGGAATATAATGCAAGTACCCCCCCTGTAAGTTCAGTTATTGAATTTATGTTTAATTTTATCATCTGTTGGTTAACCACGAATTAGAATGAAGTGGGCTCTCTTTTGCTGTCTTTTAATCTGGACAGTGCTTATAAAAAAGAGGTGAGTCCACCCAGCCCGGATACAACGCTTTGATCCCAAGGCAAAGGTTTATTTCATTCTGTGCTGGATGATAGCGCAGCCTGGCCTCTGCGCATCCTGTTTCACTGGCTTTTCAATGTCTATCTGTAGACATCACGGAAGTGACAGAGTCCAGAGAGGCCTCTGCCCTCCAATTACAGTGAAAGGACCTTGTGGAAACAACAGACTGGTGACTCGGGGTCCCAAGTGCTGCCTGTTTGTCCCAGGAATATTTTAATTTTTTTAATAAATCTTTTTTAAGATTTATTTATTTATTTTACATGTGGGTGCTCTATCTGCATGTACACCTGCACACCAGAAGAGGGCATCAGAGCCCATTACAGATGGTTGTGAACCACCTTGTGGTTGCTGGGAATTGAACTCAGGACTTCTGGAACAACAGATAGCGCTCTTAACCACTAAGCCATCTCTCCAGCACATTCAACAGACAAAAGTTATAACTTTGTACCGGGCATTGGTGGTGCACACCTTTAATCCCAGCACTTGGGAGGCAGAGGCAGGTGGATTTCTGAGTTCAAGGCCAGCCTGGTCTACAGAGTGAGTTATAACTTTGTAAGAATTGAGTCTAGATCACCTGACACCTGTCTGGGTGCATTAGAGTATCTATCTATAACAGAACACCACAGCCTAAGGAGCTATTTCACATGGTCTCGGAGACTATGTCCAGGACAAGATGCTGGCAGTGTTTTTTCTGGTGAACACCTGCTTCCTTGAGGTGTCGTCCTGTGGCAGAGGGATGAAGGCATTTGTCTGGGGAAACGTCCCCTGCCATGAGAGCTCTTTTTTCTGACCTGGACACCCTCCAAAAGGCCTCTCCCCTTGACGCCATCATCTTGGTACTCAGGAGGTCAGCAGGTGACTGGGAGGTGGTGGCACCACTGAGCCACATCTGTGTGCACACTGCTGTTTGACACAGATGCATGTGTGTCTACAGGATATGTTGCTGACAGTTCTTTTAGAATTTAGATTTCTTCAAGGTTTTTCTCAAATATAAAACTTTTACTTTTTTTTTTCAGCAAAATCTGCATTAAATGTTTGAATCATCTGTTAAACTAAGTTAAATATATGTCTATATCGAATATGAGCTGCTTTAGCATTCTCTGTGGTTATCCACAAGTTTGTGGTGTTTACCATGTGAGACGTTTTTCAGGGAGAAACTCTCTGAGCTGGGGACTAGTGCAGGGGGCTGATGAGGTCATCTCCAGGAACGTCAAAGAAGAAAATGGATGCCGCTCAGTGCTTACGTCCTTCTCAGAGATGTGCGGGACTTCATCCCGAGACAGGGGCAGACCCCTAGGAGAGACTAGTTGAATTTCAGGAGTGCTCTCAGTGGGAGGAACTGCTCATCATCCTTCCATCCCTGCTGCCTGGGACTCCTCCCTCAGCCCCTCACTTTCTCACTCCCACTCTCTCCTTATCTATCGCACAAGCTATTCTGCGCTGAAGAAGGACGGACAGAGACTGTCAACGTTAATGAAGAGAGGAGAGGCGGTTGAGGCCAGGCCAGCCAGGCCGGTGACTGTCTACAGCATCTCCCTCCTGAAGTTCCAGCCACCGTTTTTCACGCTAGGTAAGAGACGAGACAGTCTGCTTTACCTGTATTTTTTGTTTTGTGTGTGGCTAATTTTACACGGTGGGGGATGGATCTCTGTGGTCTTGGAACTTTTTTTTGAACGTTAAGAAAAGTTACGGTTTGATTTCATGAGGTAAATGTGAACACGAGTGGGCTGGTTTTCATGTTGTGCAGTCATCTTCCTGTGAACTTGGGAGTAAATACTTAGGATCTCTTTAGAGAAGTAGGCCGAGGATGTATGTTTTCCAGATTGTTGAGTCAGGGCCTGCAGAAATGGCTCAGCGGTTAGGAGCACTGACTTCCCTTCCAGAGGACCTGGGTTTGATTCTCAGCACCCACACGGTGGTTCATGGCCCTCCGTAACTCCAGTCTCAGGGGATCCTATGTCCTCTGACCTCTTTGGGAACGAGGCGAAGCTCGTGGTACTCAGACATATGCAAACAAACACCACACGTGTAACAATTAAAGTAAATATAAATGTAAAAAATTAGTTTTTATCTCACAGGTTCTTCCGTCTTCTCAGACTTAACATCTCTCATTTTAGAGTAAATATTGATCTTTTAAACAAAGCCTTTTTCGTTAATTAGGGATAAGAGGCTATAAAATCAGGCTGATTTCTATCGGCCCCTTTCTTTGTGAGCTGCAAGTTATTCATGTGAAAATAGCCAAGACAAGAGTATTGTTGGACACCTGGTTGCAGTTTTAGTTCAAGTTGTCAATGTGAATCTGTGACGCATACTTGAAGTAAATTAAAAAGCCAAAATACTTGTTTATACAGTTTTAAAGTTGTACAGGGCTATGTAGTTGTTTGTCCTCAGGGTCCTGAAATTGATCCAGCGACTAATTTCACAGTAACTGTTAATAGAATCCATGTCCCATGGGATTTCCCAAAGCCTTTCCTTCCTCCACCATCCCGGCGGCTCCTCCTGATACGCAGGAAGTTCCTGCAGACGGTGGTGTAGTTACAATAGGCTCTGTCTTATGTTTCCTGACTCTAAACAACTTGACAAATGAACAACTACAACAACAACAAATCCCAAACAAACCAAGAACCCCAAACCTACCACGTGGTCCTTTCTTTTCACTCCATGAAGTGCAGACAGCACTTTGTCTCCTGGCTGCCCGTGTGTCAGAAAAGTGCCTCACTGTGTTGACTGGAGAGTGTGGACTGAGTGTGCCTGGCTTTCTTCCGCAAAGCTGGGTATCACGCAGGTGTCGCTGGCACACCCCTGGGTCATCCAGTACTTCACCCCCTTACTGTCTCAGTTGCCCCGGATGTGAGCCATAGAGAAGAATTTAGATGCAACTAGAAACAAGGAGGTGTGCTGCTGCCCCACTCAGGGTGTAGACGAGCACCTACTGTGCGCCCTGCTTCCTGCCAAGCGTGCCCTGTAAGACGGCGCTATCAGCTCCACAGCACTGTGTGGCTTAGATTTACTTATTGTCTTAGTTATGTTTTTGTCAGAAACATTTCCAAGGAAACACGTGAATACATGGGACTCTCTCTGTGTCGCACACCACCCCAAGGACAGCTCTTCTCATTGGCAAAGGGATTTTTGGTTGGTGTCTGGTTATACTTTTTTTTTTTTTCAAATGTTACAAAATCTGAAAATATTTAAGAAACCCACGGCTCATGATAGAAAAGCCGAGATTTCTGGCCATTTCGAGCATAGTGAATGAACAAAGTATACAAATCTGAAGATATTTTTTTTTAGCATCTCTAGCTCATGATAGCAGAGCTGGGATTTCTGTTTCAAACCCATTAAATGAACAAGGCTGAGATATTAACGTGGTGCTGCTTGCCAGTTAATTTAAAATGTGTTCATGACCTTCTGCCTACTGCACACCCAGACTTTTGGATCTCACAAACACATATGCTGCTAGATGAATAATTTATGGCATAGCACATAAATATTTTATGGCTCAATTGTTTGCATAGCCGTCTTTTACACGTGTTGAAGAGCATCGTTTTTATGTAAAGTGGGGCTCTCAGGGGGTCAGCCTCTCACCGCTGCATTGCTAACCTTCCAGATGTTGAATGCGGAGGAGGCTTTTACATCCGAAGCCTGGTCAGTGACATTGGCAAAGGTAAGCAGAGAGTGAATTACGAACCATCATTTACGGGGTAATGCTCCTTTCTGACGGGAGAGGGAAATTTCTGTTTTTCATTTTCCCCGAGGACCGGCTGAGGAGCGGGAACTGCTGCTTTTAGCTCAGATGCATTGTGGGTTTATAGTGTGCACTTCTGAGTCCCTGTGGCTGCCGCAACTTGCTGGTAATGGAGAGGAAGCACGGGGTGGAGAGGGAGCACAGAGACGGGGCAGACAGTGAACACGGCGAGAGCGGGTGGGAGAGCCTACATTTTTTCAAGTAAAAAGCATTTTAACTGAAAGTAGAGATCAGAAAAAAAGATTTATCCTTCTAAAAAATTATTTACATTGATCCAAATCAATTAAAAACAAAAACTGGAAGCCACAATCTTACAAGCACCCAGAAAGCTCCGGCTCTGCCTCTACTGTTCCCTGGTCACATGACAGTGGACAGGTCACATTATCCTATTTGTAGAGTAATGGGAATATTTATGTCCTGGGCTTGCTTCAAATGCCAAGTAGGAAAAGCAGGTGTAAGTTTAAATCCCTAAATCATCTTTCCTGCTTAAGCACTGACTTACCTCAGGCTCTGGGCTCTTTTGCTGGGCTGGCACTCTGGGAGGTCAGAGGTGAGTTCTGTCGACTGGCAGACTGCGATTGTGAACGCTGCGCGGCTCAACCTTGCGGGTTTTTTTTTTTTTTTCTTTTGGGTGCTGTAGAACTCTCTTCCTGTGCCAACGTGCTGGAGCTGACCCGCACCAAACAGGGGCCCTTTACGCTTGCGCAGCACGCCCTCCCGGAAGACAGATGGACCATCGATGACATCGAGCGGTCCCTCGAGCGCTGTACGTCTCTTGTGCCAGAGGAGCTGACGTTTAAGAAATCAAAATCCGAGAACTCCAGCGACCAGGTTTTAAGATGTGAATATATAACTCTCAGGGAGACAAAGAGAGAAGATGATACAGTTAAGACACTTTGAGCCCAGCCTGGGAGGATCGTTTCCTGGTTGGTGTATATCCTGACCCTGGAATGTCCATAAACTTCTTGAGTACTTGGCAAGATGTCTTAATGTCTCTGAATGGTGGATCTGATGATTGGATTCAGATGAATACCGTTTTCTGAATTTGATCTTCCCTTAGTCTTTTTCCCATGAAGAAGTTAACGTTCTAATTACAGAAGACTGAAGTCTGAGCTGCAGGTTCTACTGGTCTCACGGAAGTGTCAAGCTTGGTTTGCTCAGATTGGGGGAGGGGAGCGTTCATTGTTTTGGAATTCTCTGAATATATTTGAAGTGCTCAGTGTTGAGCTGTCCTGTGTGTTTGCAGAGCTCATGACTGCTGGGAAGCGCTGGCAGGCTGTAGTCATCTGAGACTGTGTCTCTTAGATCTCAAAAATGAATACATATCCCAATAAATACCTGTAAATGCACAAACTTCTGCTAACAGAATGTAAATAGCTTAAGATGACATTCATTCCGTATCCTGTCTTCAGCAGAGCTCAGCTCCTGTAGCTGTGCACTGTGGCTGCCATTTCTCTGGTCAACCACGTGGTATCTAAGGACTAAAAGTGTGATTTTTAGAGTATAAACTAAAGAATGTGTCTTGAATTAAAATGCTCTCCTGCCTGTCGGTGACTGTGGAACATGGTTTCTGCAGTTACTAAGAATATGATCATGTTTTAAAACAGCAAATTCTATGAGTGCTTCATTGTTTTGTTATGGGAATATCTACTCATTTATTATGTGTTTGAGGGCATGAGCTGGAGAGTCGAGATCCCTGCACCCACCCACACCAGCTCTTGCTGCTTCAGCTCCAAGAGACCCAGCACCCACCTCTGACCTTGTGGGCCCCTGTGAAACCCATACCTCCACACACATAAATAAAATAATTACTTTAAAAGATAAATAGACTTAACTCAGGACAGCCTCTCTCATTATGTAGCCAAGGCTCCTCCTGTCCTGCCTCCCAAGTGCAGAGATTACAGGCGCCCACCACTGTCTCCTGCAGGAACGTAGTAATGACACCACTGTCTCCTGCAAGAACATAGTAAACCACCGTACAGCTCTGTCAGTATTCAAGGCTTATTAAACATTTCATAAAATACAAGTTTTTATATCTTCATACCTGTCTTTTTAGAGGTTGTTGCCTCTAAAATATTTTAAATAGGTAGACTGATGGTTCTGTTGTAGTTAATGTAATGTAAGCCTAATATAAAAAGTTAACAGGGAGTTCTCAGCATACTGGCAACATTTTTAATAAAAATGTTAAAGTTAACTATGGGCAGGCAAGATGGCTCAACAGGTGGCCCCAGGACCAATGACTTGAGTTTTGATCTCCGGGCGACCTACTAAGAACCTACCTCAGCAGATTGTCCACAGACACTCTGCAGTGTGCACACACCCATGTCCATTCCCACACACATACAAACAAAAGGATGAAATGTTTTTAAATTTAAAAACTAATTCTTAGTACGTGACTGAAAAATACGAGTGTTATATTATGGTTAAATCCATGAATCAGAAGCTTCGTAGTTTTGAACCTGTTGTCATGGTGAGGCTTTCCTCCCAGCACTCAGGAGGTGTGGGCACGTGGATCTCTGTGAGTTCAAGGCCAGCCGGGACTACAGAGTGAGACCCTGTACTTTTATATTTTTTCTTACTCGTATCTAGTGTCCTGTAATTTGTATAACCAAAGGTGACATTAGATCCTGCTGCCCGTCAGAACGGCCCAGGCTACACATAGTGTGTTTTCATGAACAGCTCAAGTCTGAATAGACCACACAGCTTAGGGGCTTCTTTTTTTCTTTTCAATTTAAAATTTACATATACACTTTTCTCATAGGAAATAGTAGAATTTATGAAAAAGCAAGCAAGTTATAGAAGCAGTTTGGAAATGCTGGAGAAATTATGCAGATTTAAAATGCCTATAATGTTCACCATCTCAATATACTCGTTTTGGATTTTATTTTTTATTTTTTATTTATTTTTATTTTTTTGAGACAGGATTTCTGTGTGTAGCTCTGGCTGTTCTGGAACTCACTCTGTAGACCAGGCTAGCCTCGAACTCTCGAACTCAGAAATCCGCCTGCCTCTGCCTCCCAAGTGCTGGGATTAAAGGCATGCGCCACCACCGCCTGGCTTGGATTTTATTTTTATATTATATTTTCCCCTTTATTTAGATAATTCAGGAACTTATGCTCTTACTGACTTTCCATATGATTTTATCTGGGCGTGTTTAGTCTTCTTGAGTATACCAGTCATGTCTCTGTACTCCGTTCATTTAAACTACTTTCCTGGGGCTGCACACATAAGCAGCCTTTTTCTTAGGACACATTATTGTAGTGTGGTTATTTTAGAGGAAGCAATAAGAACTTGTGATCCCCCGGGGCTGTAACGTTTAGTACCACCATTGTTAGGAATTTTATACATTGTTGCTAAAATTTCTCTGCTTTTGTGTGACCTACCTTCACACCCTGTTCATCTGTATAAATAAACGTCTTGATGGTTCCTTTGTATGTCACATGAGTCATTTGCAGTAAGTGCTTAGCCGAAGTAGTTTTCTTGGCCTGTGTCAGTTTCTTTTCCAGGTCCTGTGATTAAATGTCCAGACAAAAGGGGCCTAAAGAGGAGTGCTTACTTTGGCTGCAGCTGAGAGATCCCAGAGCCAGGGAGGTCCAGACAGCTGGTCCCACACGTCTGATCTGCAGTCGGAATGGCATAGCGAACAGCCAGTGGTACTGCTCTGCTGGCTTCATCTTACCCAGTCCAGGACCTTTGCCCAGGGAGGAGTCGCGCACACTGCTAACATAGGTCTCCTTCTTCAATTAACCTGTCAGGATCATCCCCCCAGGCAAGCCCAGGGCCATCTCCCAGGGCACTCGAGAGCCCTGGGCTGGCAACACCAACAACCTGAGCCTCACTTTGTAAGCGTCTTAGGTTTTGTTCATTCAGTTTCCACATTCTCCCCCTTTGCTACCTTCAGATGTGTAAAGATGAGTAATTAAAATTTATTAAGATTTTTAAATATTCTTAACCTTCATGGGTAGCTGAAACCGAGACCCGAGGTCTGAAATAGTTCAAGATTCATCCGCTTTAAAATTTTAATCAGAATATCCAAGAAATATATGCCACTTATGTATTTTAGGCCTTAAGATGCTTGGCATGATAAACTCATTTTACTTATGGGCAAAAAGGGAGTTAAATTTCCTACAGATGTCCCAGCCTGGAGCGTAGCAGGTCATCTCACTGTCATTATTAACTCTTGGGCTTCTGTGAATGTTGTTTAAAGTAGTCACAGAATTATTTTCTGACCTGAAGATCTACAAGGATTAAAATAAGAGGAATTTGTCCTTTACAGATTCATAGCTGTGATTGGTGGACAAGAGACAACTTTCCCTTGTCCCTGAGCTCACCGGGTCTTTCTCTCTTCAGTACATGAATTAATTCGAGGTTGCTGACTCATCAGGAACCACCTTCTAAGGAAGGCTGGTAGTTTGTGCCCCTCTGACCAGTTCCATTAGAGGGTGAACTGTTCTGTTTCAAAGGAAGAAGGTAATTTAAACTGTATCCTGATCTGGATAATGCAAGCATGTAACTCAAGGGCACCATAAAGCCCGGATGCATTTATTAAGACAAAGAAAGATAACAGCATGCAGTTTGGCCACTGAAATTATTGCAATAGCCTTAAATATTAAATAGGAGGACTGTCTAAAACTGTGTTGTCCTCAAGGTGTTGTGTAAGCAGCTGTAGCTTGCTTGCCTTGGCCAGCTGTTAAATACAGATGTTAAACACGGATTCCACGGCCCTCAAATCGGAAATGCCTTCATTCATCATCAAGTAAGTTCTACAATAAGACGTTTTCAGAGTGACATTTAAAATACTGAGGCTAGTCAGAAAGCTGTTAGGAATTGCTTTCTAATTCCTTCCTCTATTTCTGTTTTATTTCTGAGAAAACAACAGATTGTTTCTGTGTCTGTCATTAATCAGCTCTTTGACTGGAGACCAATCACTTTGTCTTCGAGGGACTCAGTTTACTCACCTTTGAGACAAAGGAGATGGTCTGGCTGGCTTCTAGAACCTTCTACCGTCGAGCAAAAGACTGCCATCCGTGGGTCGTTGTGTTCCTGGGAACTTGAGTTTTGCCACATTCATTGGCTCTGAGGATTTTCACCCTTGATTGCTTTGCCTATGACACATCTTCTAGTTTTACGTTCTTCTGCGTGTTCACATGTCATTTTGGACATATAACTCTTTCACAGTCCCCATCTCTTCATCTCTCCATGCTGAACCCTGAGTTTCCTCAGTTCTTTTTTCCAAATGCTTCCTTCTGCTGTTTTTATATACTAACGATCATTTATTTCAGTGACTATCGTATTCTGTTTTTATTTCTGAAACATTGCAGTATATTGTGTGTGTGTGTGTATATATATATATATATAAAATTTCAGTATATTTTGTGTGTGTGTGTGTGTGTTCTTGTGTATGTTGCCAGCCCCTCCTCATGACACAAGAGATTGAACCCAGGACCTCATTCATATTTAATCAAGTGTTCTTCCACTGAGCTATAGCGTAGCCAGCCTTTGCTACTTTGTGAGTTCTTTTTTTCCCAGCCTTTATCCATCCCCACCCCCACGTTAGCCCCCATCACTATATAGGAGAGAAAAAGATGATAGAGGGGAGAGAGATTCTTGAATCTAATTTCTTTCTTCTTTGAGCATAACTACTAACAAACTACAACCAATCTTCCTGCAGGACCAACAACTACCCACCCCATCTCTCGGGACCCCTAGCATTTCTGTACTCTTCGAAAAGTTCTCAGAACTTCAAACATCATACAATCACAGAAATACTCTGCAGCTGGCAGAACCATGCCTCTGTTAGAGCACGAGGCAAAGCATAGTCAGCTGCTGGGGACAGTCCAAAGCAGCCCCACACCTGGGATACCTTGGATTAAAATGAAAACATATTCTTATAATATTTCTGTGTTTTAAAAGAACCCAAAATTCCAGAATTCTTACTACACTGTATCCCAAGCCCAGTGTTGTCTTATTCCACCATCGGGGCCTCTATGAATGTGTATTTTAAACTTTTATTAATGATTTAATATGTACACAGGAAATTGTTCATAAGCTTCATATACTTTCAGAGACTGAATACATAGTGACAAGTGTGTAAATCAAGAATCAGAACACACCTAACCCTGCCTGCCTCTGAGCCCTGCAGAAGGGTTTTTGGTCAGGAGCATCAGCACGGAGAGGAATCACTCGTAACATTGTAGCACCGAGTCTGAGAGAGTAGCCACTTCTAACATTGTGCATTTTTATTTTCTTGTCATACAGTTTGTGTATCTCCACATCTGCCCAAGGGTGTGTGTGTGTGTTTATTTTATTGATGCCTTAGCCCGGGCTCCCACAGCAAATACTACTGATGGTCTAGCTCCAGCTAAATCTTTTTTCTGCCTCTGAGTTATCTTGGGACAAAGAGGACAGTCTCTCTCGTTCTTTCACACCCGGGCACAGATCTCATCTTGGGACTCTAATCTCCCTGGGCCCATCTAAGCTTGAGTTGGTTCCCAGAGGCTCCACTTTCTAACTGTTCATGTTGGGGGTTGGGCTATTGCCACATTTGA